TGATACGTGATTTCATGGTGAAATATCGAATTTAAGCTGATACATAAAATCATGTCAGAACATAAATTCATACTGAAAGATGAATTCATGTCTCAGCATGAATTTATGTTTGGACGTGATTTTATGCTGTAGCACGGATTCATGTCGTGATTTAAAAAATAACATGGAAAAGAGAAAAAAATCACAGGTATTTATGTTCACGAAAAAGTTCCTCTATCACATTGCTTTTCCTACATGTCTTGTCATTTCTTTAATCCACCCTTCAGTGTCTCCATGGGCTCTTCATCCCTTTTTACCGAACTTCTGGAGCTTAAAATCCGGAGACTTTATTCGCTTCTGGAATAGCATTCGCATCAAGTAAATTTGTCAGGACGAAATAGGTTTTCAATTTTCTTTTTTTTTTCTCTCTCTTTCTCTCTCTCTCTCTCTCCCTCTCTTTCTCTCTCGTCTTGATGCATTCAGCAGAATTTTCTTATGCTTCCACTGACTCCTTTATCGCTATCGGTCTTCGGTCGCTATTTATGTTATTCGGGTAATTTATTTGAATAGCGCAATAGGATTCAAACTGCCGCTGAGGTTGAATAGATCACGATGTTTGATTCAAATTATTCAATATTATATTACTGAATTTATTCAAGGTTCATCGGATATTGAGAGGCGTTCTTAATACATTAATTGATTGAACGAGAACAATTGGAATGGATCTTAGGAGAATAGATGAATTTCTAATAATAAATCGTGTAAAAAATCCGGTCTTCATCGCATAATTGACATGTTCGGATTTTCGGTGGCGTTTCGGGAGATCATAATCCGATAATTGTCATATTTTCAATTAGTCAAGATGATCGAGCGGCCCAATTACTTTAAATAACGTTCTAGTTAATCTGAATCAGTGCATCAAAACCATCACATTCGAGTTTGTTTCCACAATCCTTTAAATTAATCAAGAAAAGGGAGAATTTGAAGTAATCCATTTGGATTCTGTCTTTCATATAAGATGACGTTCATATGACGTGAATAAATTCTCGTCTCTCTGAAAATTTAATTCTCTGATTGAAAATTTGCCATCAGGTAATGGAAGACAATGTCAGTAAATCGAACGTCATTTCTAATTAGCACCCGAAATGTCAACCAATCATTCTTTTATAATTTATTATCCGAAGTAATTCAATGTTCGGGTTGTGAAGGATGGATAAGTCGGTGGTTTTTTAATGCTCAAATGAAAGTTATCACGAGCCAAGACCTGTGGCGACGTCACACGGACAGGGCTACAAGCTTGTCACACTGCTCAATGGATACACAGAAAGAGTAATTATACCTTCTGTCCTCATTCCCGGTGATTAACCGTGAATCAGTAAAATATGAATTTGAGAATTTATGACAGCGATTCACGCCAATTTCAGTTCAATTGCAGAATTTCAGGTTCTTCTCTTCGTTAATTAAAGGATTTCGGGAATATCGCTAAAGTCCATTTCTCTTTCATATTGAATATCTCGTGATTGAATGATGTGATTTGTATGAGTCGCAGCTCATTTTAAAGAGCACGAAAAACCCTTGAAAATGATTGAATTTCACTCTGCCAGTGCTGAGATATTCATGACTAAAGACAACTCTTTTTGCCCTACTCTCAATATTCGCGCCTAGTTTCGCTTTTACGATGTTGATTGGTTAATCAATGAATTTTAGTCATTAAAACTTACCCCATTGAACGTTTTGATATTGTGCAATGCATTCTGGGCTGCGAGAGCTGCCTTCCTCGTATAAAATGTAACAAAACAGCAGCCTGAAACATAATCAATAATTCTCCATGAGCTTCAGCCACTGAAATATCAAATAATGATATCTCCCGTTTCACAAATTGAATCAATATTCCGATAATTATACCCTCCCGATTCTGATGAATTTCGTGGGAAGTCTTGAACAAGGATGAGAGAAAGAGTCCCATATCACTGGAAATAACCAACAGAGATGGATGATGAAGTCGTATATGACAGACGTGGTTTGGGGCAATGCAAAATGCATAATTCCCTCGATAGTTCTCTCACTCTTTCTCTCTCTCTCTCTCTCTCTCTCTCTCTCTCTCTCTCTCTCTCTCTCTCTCTCTCTCT